ATCATTTCAGCAGTTGAAATTACAAGTTACAGCACGCTGGACCTCGATGTGAACCAGCTGTCTGCTTCACACAAAGGATGACCCTGTGAGCAGGTAATACAGTTTTATAACACAACAAAAACAAGTATTATTATGACTTTCTCCTCTTGGGAATGACGCAGCTGGTCCTGCAGTCAGTGGATCTTCTCCTGCATTGCATCCACCACTGATCTTGTCTGCATCTTCTCCTTTTCCTGGAAAAAGAAAAAAAACACCTCGCTCCCTATTATCCTGCTTATTTATTTTCCAAGTCCGGGAAGTTTTGGCCCAGAAAAATATCCCCCTGACTCTAACCAGTAATGATGTTTGCAAATCCCTCTGCAGCTCAACATGTCAGTCTCAGTAATTCAGTTTAATCACAGCTCTGAATGGACTTTTGACCCTCATTGCACAGTGCCAACTCTTAACGAGCACAATTCCAATGTTTATATAAAATTCACACAAAAACAGCTTTATTTAACCATTTTATTCCTAACAACCTGCAAGTGTGAGACTAGTTAGTCAGAAAAGAAGAAGAAAAACAGCCAACGAGAACGAGACGAGTTCAGTTCAGCTTTATTTATATTGATCCGCGTCACAACAACACTCGTCTGAAAAAGCTTCACCCAGAGCCGACAGTATCAGAGACATGAGACAGAAGGACAGCTGACAGCTGGGTTAAAGTCATGACGAGACCCTGATCTCAAATTAGCCAGTTCACATCCATGTTCGCCTAAATATGTGTGAAGGTAGAAAACCAGCTGATCTTAGAGGCAACCTTCCTTCATTAATGAATAAACAGCAAAAACACTGTTTTTAATTTATGTTTTGTCTTGCTTTACTGGATTTAGTCTAGTTTCCATTTGTTTCCACAGCGAGTTTGATCCTTTCAGTTTAGAGTCTTGCACAGGGACAGTTTCCAGTGACCTGAGGGTCATTTATAAAAGCAAGGAGCTGACAGAGCTCTTAAGATCTTTGTCTATGAGCTGTATTCATGTTTGTGTGAATATAAAGTTAGACTGGTGTAATGGAGGGTCCAAGCAGAGGGGGGATACTTAATTCATTTTTATTTTCAAATCATTTTAATTTCTCTTTGTTTTCATCTCTCCTAAATTCTAGTTGTTTTTTTGTTTGAACATTATTTATTTATTTATTTTATTTGTTTATTTTTGAATGCAATTTAACAGTTCAGCAGGTTCAGGTGGTGGGTTCTAATCTCGGTGTTTCCAGGTGACTTCTTCAGTTTCCAACCTCAAACAGTAATGACTGACTATTGCACCACTGAATGAACGATGGGCTGTGAGGTCAGTTTCTTGGTCATTAATATGCAAAATGTCATGGCCATTGACAATGGAGCAATGGTAACTGGTAATTCAGGGTCACCTGGTCCAGCCCTAACTAAATGCTTTAGCAAAAAGGAAAGTTTTAAGCCTAATCTT